ACACAAGCTGTTCCACACCGCAGACAGGCATCATCCTATTGGCTGACACCCAGTGTGCAGAGCACAGACAGCGTGACACAGTTTCATCAATTTCTAGAGTCATATATAGGAAGCGAGGTGACGGAAAACAGGTGGGAGTGAAAGCATGAAGATAATCAAATGATGCATGTGGGGGTGTAACATCTTGACTGACAAGTAACAATGAAAAGAGAAGGAGACAGACATGAAAAAGTGTCTGCGGTTATGCCAGTGTCACTCATTTGCCATAACCTCCTCGATCATGTCACTCAGCTGAGTCTCACATTAAGGCCAAATTACACGGCTCAGATTTACTCTCAACAGGTGAGTGACCTCACACTTATAATGACAGTATGCGACAGGCCTATCAGAGAGCTGGAAGCACATGACACACATGCTGCTCTAGTATAATACAGGGTTCCCACACTTTTTCACCACACAATCTCAATGACTTCTCCTGTCATTCAAATTTTCCAGATAAGGATTCACAACAGCCAATATTTTAGAGCTGCAAATAGCTAGAAAAAAGCTATTTGTTATAGTCATTTTTATAACTAAGATTTTATTCAATTCCATGCCTTTTCCAGCATCTCAAATTTTAAAAGCTAATAACATGTATTTTAAAAAGATAAACCACAATAAACAGGTGTTGTAAAAGACATTTCAGTGCAAATTTGCTAAAATGCCTGATAACTGTAAACATCATACAGGTACAGTGCAGTGAAAAGGTTTTTGCCCCCTTCCTGTTTTTTATTTTTTGCATATTTCTCACACTTAAAAGATTCAGATCATCAAACAAATTTTAATATTACACAAAGATAATGCAAGTAAATATAAAATGCATTTTTTTAAATTATGATTTAATTTATTAAGGGAAAAAAGCTGTCTAAACCTACCTGGCCTGACGTGAAAAAATGATTGCCCCTCCTCTTAAATCATGAAAGAACTGTGATTAACCACATTATTTTAGAAAGCTGAGATAAATTTCACTAGCCACACCCAGGCCTGATTACTGCCAGACCTGTTGAATCAAGAAATCACTTAAATAGAACCTGTCTGACAAAGCGAAGCATGATTAAAGAGCAACACATCATGCCGCAATCTAAAGAAATTCAAGAACAGATCAGAACAAAATAGTTGACATGTATCAGTCTGGAAAGGGTTATAAAGCCATTTCTAAGGCTTTTGGGACTCCAGCGAACCATGGTCAGAGCCATTATCCACGAATGGAGAAAACTTGGAACAGTGGTGAACCAAAATTACTCCAAGAGCGCAACGACGACTCATCCAGGAGGT